AAAAAAAAAAAAAACAAAAAGAACTGACAATTATTTTAAATTTTAGACAATTTCAAAATAGAATTAAAATTTTTTTTTTTTTACTTGCTTAAACTACAGGTCAGATCTTTATTTCGACAAATTTTTATTTGTATTATTCCAAATTTTTATTATTTCTACACAAATATTTCTAGTTAAATTTTGAATGCATTAAATCATTTCTTTAGTTAATCCTCTCTTCTTTACTATACTCTTCGAAAAAAAAAAAAAAAAAGAATCATTCTATACAACGAATAAACAGCAACTAATTATAACTTTAAGTTTTTAAGATGTCCTTATCTTTTAGGCAGTTATTCGTCAAGCAAAAGTTCTCTTGACAATACTGAAAGTTTACCAAGAATGTAATGCTGTCAACAACAGATCTTGACCAAACCTATTCAATTTAACAAATAGCAAAAAAAAATTACTGAAATAATTCTGTTGTTTTGGTTTCCAATAGTTAATAAGACATTTTGCTTAATTAACTAATTGAAATCTGCTGCTTGTTAATAATATGTCTTTTGAAATAGCATTTTCAGAACTGAAACATGATGTTTTAAACTTGTTGATAAGTAGTGATAATCTGGTCGAATTTAACTGGTTACTCTAACACATTACAGGTAAACATCAAGTAATGTAAAAATAGTTTTTTTTTTTTTTTTTTTGCAAAAATAAAGTTTGTCTGATCAAACTTTAAAACCTGTATACTGGCATTGGAATATCAGAGGTTACAAGCAGGTCTACATTTGTTCTTCTGCTAAATTTGCGTTTCCAAGAAACTGAGTCAAAGAGTAAAGATTAACCTGTGAGGTGTTCAGGTGGACTCGGTATTTGTATGGAATATTTATACGATCACAAGATTGCAGGTGTTATATTTCAAATATACATTTTCTTTTCTTTTTCAAACAGAATATAGTTATAGTTTGAGCAAAAGTTCTATTTCAATGCTATGCAAAATTTCAAGAAAATACAAACCATTTTCAAAACTGGAGGAGATATTCTAGAACAGTATTGTTGAACAGAACTAGGCACGATTAAAAAAGATACGTTTTTAACTCACACGCACTCTTAGTTTTTAAACTTTTTAGGACTTTAGACGTAGTTGCTGCTACCAAAAACTAACTTACTCACTAGTCAAATATTATTAAGGCTTAATCAGCCTGTTAACTTGTGTCATTTTTTTTCAGCATCTTCATATTTTGGCTGTTACTTCTAACCTTAATTACAGTTTTCTATGTTGCATCTTCTTATTACTCACTTTTTGATCTTTTTTTATTTACTGTAGTTGTCATCAATTGTTTAGTGTGGTACTTAATCGACCTTTTTTTTAGCCCTTTTTCTTTCGAAAAAAAAATGA